TAACTAAATTTATATTTTAATATCACACAGAATATAAAATAAATCAAAAGCATTACGAGGATAAAAGGTAAAGACATGATGTATTACACACAATGTGGGGGACCACTACAACTATCATCAAAAATGTACAAGTAGTTATAAACAATCGTCTACATAAGATACTCAATATCGGTTGGTAGGATACCATCAGCAACAGCCTACTGTGAGAGAGAAAAAACCAGCCTCCAGCTGAAGAGGAAATTAAGAAAAGACATTGGAAGTGGGTAGGATATACATTACAGAAATCACTTTCAGTTAGGAAAGGAAATTTCGGGTCAGTGTCAGAACAGCCATCAACGTCAAATGAAGGAATTTCCCGGTAAAGAAAAGGCCAGAAACATCGACAAAACTCGGAAACCCTAAGTCTTTATCGGAAAATATGTACCATCATATGCTCGGGTTGAAGCTTACACTTGTAAGTCTCTAGCATGGCGGAGCAGAATGAAGAACTTCGGGAGTATTATCAACGATGCTGTCGGGTTAACGACACTATTGACAGTTGTTTGATCACACCGAAACTCCGCTGGTTCTGCACTCACATGTTAGGCATAGTTGGATACGAATACGGTGTTCGAAAGAGATAAAGAAAATGTTCTGTTAATTGATTGCCAGGGACTACACCTTGAAACATTAAAATGCTGGTGGCAGTGCATGTCATTTCAGCTTTACAATACCTGTTGATAATTATCATTCTGTTACTGCATGGTATTTGTACTAACTGATGATTCCTTTGTACTTGAACGAGAGTTTATTACGAGTTTCAAATATAATATGTCTAGTTGTGCTCATCTAGTTTTACCTGCCTTAAACTGTGCCATTTCGTGGATTCTTAGTTATTAGTCATTAAATTATCTTGTCTTCTTCGGATACTTATAGCGTCTCAGTAGTGCTATCCTTTCATGAATTTTTCTGTCTTTCTTGCATTCATTAACATATGTCCGGAACTTGGAAAATTATATATTCTTATCTGTCAACCTCCTTTGGTTAGATTTTCTTTACTTGATCCAGGTTAAGAATTGTTCCGAGTGTTTTGTCTGGTTATTATGTAGTGCCAAATCTTTGATAATAAGCTCTTGACTAAGTGAATTAAGGTGATGACCTCGAGTAGTTGCTTACGGCCGCCTTTTGGTTGTTTACTGAAAGTGTTTACTGAGTCAAGGTAACGTACGAAAGAAATAGTCAATAAACAGGGGTTCGATATCTGAGAGTCGAAAAAATATTTCTAACAGGGATTCCATTAACCCTGCATGCAGACAGTCAAACGTTAACGATCATGCGCTGAACTACGCGATCTATTGTCAATGGCCCGGTAACATGCAACAGTAAAACTAAGTAATGAGATAAATCTCCAGCCAACGTCAAGTGATAAAGCGCAGACAGGAAAGTTCGGGAAACATGTACGCTTAAAAGGGACCTAAATCAGGGTTGGAACACAAGGTAGAGAAAAAGAACAAATAAATATCAATACCACTCAAAAATGCTTCGAATGGGATTTTCAGCGTGTTATGTCATTTGACTCTAATGATCGCAGTTACTTCTGGAATCTGAAGTACCGATTTCGCCGATATTCTTGTACCTTGTTACTGATTCCAACCACACGCCATATAAAGTAAACCTTCCGTCGGTATTTACCTTATAATGAAGTGATAGGTCCAAAATGGCCACGGAAAACTGAGAGTGGTTTTTCTTTGTGCCGCCAAGTTCTCATGGATTGCCCCGAATGATGTGATTTATCAAAGGTCAGACACCATTGCCGGGTTAGTTATATTTACGCAAGGAATAATTTGCAGCTTCTGCAAATGTTGAGTAAATGTTTGCTCAACTGAAAATGCCTGGGTTTGATCTTGGGGCCTTGAGGTTTCTATAATGGGCGATACCTGATATATCAGGCAAACCAATCGAAATTCACATGACCCTCCATCCAATCGGGGTCACATATCGCTATTTTGTGCGGACTCTGCTATGGAGATAGCCCGAAAATTCTCTACTGGGTACGACGTTTTTGTCGTAGATGTTATCAAAAATAGTCTCTATATAGGTTATTGCTTGATATCCTCTTCCTCCCATGAATAGGTTAGGAAGTTTGTTGTGTAGATAAATGAATTATTATTAAGAAGTTTCAAGTTAAAGAAGTGGATAACCAACTCAGAGGAAATGAAGGCCTTCTTGTTCGATGTTTGTAAAGAAGAGTCTGTAGTAGTAGTAGTAGTAGTAGTAGTAGTAGTAGTAGTAGTAGTAGTAGTAGTAGTATTGGTTTTAACCAAATAATCCTCGAAGTCGAACATAAAATAACTGAGAAAATCCACATTTAACATTTAATGCAGAGAAAATATCAGTAGTGATGAAAGCGGTACTAATTGACCAGCATGGCATGACTCAGCCTTGCAGACGTGGTCATTCTGCGTGATTTATCCTCGTTCATACCAAACACACTATCCTATCTCCAACCCTATTGTGTTGTTCGGAGGCGCTAGACATAATATTGCTGATTATTACGTAGGACAAGTCAATATAGATAATGATAAAAAGTCCACGTATGTTCTTGTGGATTAGGTAATCACATAATGACAAATCTGGAATTTTAGGATTAGGTCTATTATTGTAATAACAAAGATAGATGTACTAATACTAACTTAGAATCCTGAAGGGAAATGGGAAAATGAAAGACCAAAGAACACACCTCATCGAGAATTGGAAGCAGACATGAAAAGGATGAATAGCAACTGTAAAGGATTATCTAGGACAGAGTTGAATAGAGAATGTTGGTGGGCGACCTATGCTTCTCCACAAGGGTTAACAAGCGTAAGTAAATAGGTATGAAATAGCTTTTATTTCGTATAGATATACTGAACATAGGTGGTAAGATTCATGACCAATCAGCTGACAGAAGCAGAAATCACATATATTTATGGACACCTAAGTATAAATAACATTCGCATTTATGTGTGTGCAGAATACCTTGGAGATTGGCATGGTTTTTTCGTTTAAAAGTTCAAATAAATCACGTAGGCGTTGAGAGTTTACACAAGTCACTAGTGTCACAGACATTAAAAGCTCTTAAACCTTAGAAATGTTTGTAGAATGGATTGAATGTCCTTGATAGGGATAGAAATATTTCCGATATACCGTTGATCGTGAAATCTAGGGATCCAATTGAGTTTGTTTTCGCTAAGTTCAGCAATTTTAGGGCTCTATTCAAATGAAAATTTGATATTTTAACGTAGGCTGTCTCATAATATGCTCACGACTCATTCCGCTATACTGAGGGAAGCAGCCTCAATCTTGGCAACGCCGCTTAGCATGATGTCCTCACACTCGCTAAGTCAAGGAAAACTACCGGAAAATTGGAAGCTGGCTCACATCACACCTTCAAGTTACCGACCGGTGGCTCTTCTCTCCATACCCTCAAAAATCATGGAGTCCCTGATATGTGATGGTATAAACGACTATTTACTGTCCTTAAATTTCTTCTCACCCCAACAGCATGGTTTCAGGAAGGATTACTCTTGTATTATAAACCTGCTGACTGAGGTGGACAGATGGACAAGCACCCTTGATCACAAGGGGAAGGTTGATATCATCTACTTAGATTTCTCAAAAGCATTTGATAAGGTTAACCATACATGTCTTATCAATAAGCTCAAACGATTGGGAATCAGACCACCTTTAATCGATTGGCTCACTTCATACCTGAAAATCAGGGTTAATTTCACTTTCTCTCAGGCTATGGAATGTCCTAGTGGGGTCCCCCAGGGCTCAGTACTAAGACCTCTTCTCTTCTTGATCTACATAAATGATCTTCCTCAACAGGTAACGTCAGACTTATTACTTTTTGCCGATGACGCGAAACTTTGGAGAGAGAGATACGCAACCAAGACGATACACAGGCACTTCAGGAGGATCTGACTCGACTTCAAAGTTGGGCAGACGATAACGAACTTACCTTTAACACTTGAAAGTGTAAAGTAGTCCATCTGCGACATGTCGCAGACTACATTTATAACCTAGGTAACTCCCCTCTAGTAGTATCTCAAGTCGAAAAAGATTTAGGAGTCTTGGTGCCCTACGATTTAAAGTCTTACGCTAACTGTGACAAAAATGCCTTCCGAGCAAACCTTGCACTGGTAACATTGAAGCGCATTTCTGGCCAGTTTGACAGAAGAACTTTCCATATAATTTTCAATAGTTTTATCTGTCCCCATTTAGAGTACGAAAACATAGTATTTCCCCCCCCTCACTCCAAAAGGATGAGGATACCCTGGAGCGTATTCGATGGCGAGCCACGAAATCAGTTCGAGGACTCAAATTTAAACCTTACGAAGAGCGCCTCCAATCACTTAACCTTTACCCATTATAGTATAGACGTATTAGAGGTGACCTTCTGATGGCTTATAGTATCCTTAACACTTCTGGACATCCTCTCAAACACCTACTCAAGCTTAGTTTTAACACTAACTTAAGGGGTAACACCCAAAAACTGGAGACACAACATATCAGAACGGAATGCAGACACAACTTCTACTCTTTAAGATTTGTAAAATTCTGGAATTCGCTGCCGGACGAGCTAGTCCAAGTGACTTCCCAGGAGTCCTATAAGAGGCAACTTGATCTATTCTTAAGGACTAAGGATAGTATCGCACTATGATTTATCAATTTCCTTTCCTGTTTTATTGTTAACATACCTAGGTTCCTGCCTGGAGGATTTGGTGATCCCCTGCTACTAGACACGGAAGCCTGTTAAGCGAAAGCTTCTTCTATTCCGTCAACAACCATTTGAACCATTTGAACCTATTCTTAAGGACAAAGGATAATATCCTACTATGATTTACCTATTTCTTTTTCCTCTATTATCGTTAATATACCTAGGTTCCTGTCTGGAGGTATTGGTGGTTCACTGTTACTAGACACGGAGGCCCGTTCAGCGAAAGCTTCTTCTATTCCATCCACAACCTTTTGTACCAATTTGAACCATTTACATATTGAATAACTACAGTGCTAACTTTGGGTTTTATGCGCTACCTTGTTGTGTTATGGATTCCTATGATGTTATAACAAACCAGCCTGTAGTTATAGATATAGTGAGTAAAACCAGTTTTTATGATCACCTCTTTCCCTGCTGTTTATTAACTAATTTTGACCTGGTGGATATCTGGTTGGTAGTTAAGGTGAAGTTAATTTCAGCGTTACTACGTAGAATTTACATTTAGGTTAAAAAAAGCATATACCCTTCCTAGCCAAATTATCAGTGTATAAACGACAGTTCTTACCAGCAAATTCTGATCCATAATGTTTGAAATAACCATCTAACTTAGCGATTAGTTTGGTGTTAAGTACATCAATGAGTAATTACTCACACGCTACACGCAGCCATAACGACGATTATAAATATCCAAGAATCAAAGTTGCATGAGGCTAGTTTATATTCTTCCCCAAATCTTTCACGATTGGAAGAGGTAACCATGTTTCTAAGCTTACTATTCTCCGCAACATATTTCCAGTTTGTGCTTCATGTAATACAAATTTACGGCAGAATCACAGCAAAAACATAACCCTCAAAAGCCTTTTATGTTAAGAGTCTCGTGTGTAGAAGTTTTGAGCTTCTAGTCAATGAGTTCTCCGAAATTGGACCTACAACTTTCACGTTTTGTAGTTATTATCGTACTAATTCTTTGTGAAAAGTAGTAAGCATATATATGTCTTCACAAAAGTCCCTGTTAACATCCAGACTGTTAAAATTACTATTGCGACCAAATACCAGTGCACCATAAATAGTTGTCACTTCCATTTCATAAGTAAAAACAAGCCAGACATGGATCATCAACCTAGCGAGTAGTGCCATCAATATACATGTAATAAATCAAAAATTATACTTAGAAACTTGACTCCTTATAAATCTCTAAACCTCAAAGTATAACTTCCATTCTAATAGCTGGTCTGTACCGTTTTATTTCACAAACTTCTGCTTAGTGACTAGATACTGAAAAGTTGAAATTCCGAGACTGGTTGTGTCAGCATAATTAAGATGTATTCTGAATAAGACCATGGTTTTCTAAATAGCTATGACTTACATTTACTTTTAGATAGTTATCTATAAGCATTGAATCAGGATTCAGTATATACCACTAAATACCAATCTTCTAGTGATCCATTTCAAAGACATCATTATAAATTGTGCGTTTAGCTGATAAGAGGGCACGTTTATTGTGTCTTCATAGGACAAAAATGACTTAATGTTAATTTAAATACACAATGCTTGATTGTTGTATCAACGGTGTGTACATTGTAACTTAGTAAAGACTCGTTCCCTTTAGTTCGTTGGGAATTAACTTCCGGGAAAATTATGTCATTATGATTGCAATGGATTATTGTCTGTCAGTCACAACATAGGATTTGGTATGTATGTACATCGGCTCAAGTTACCGTACCTTCTTAGCATAGTGAGATGAGATTTTCAGGCCGAATCCCAGAATAGTAGAGAATTATATGTAATTTTATAGTGTTCAAATATCCACGAAGTTTATTTTTGATTACTAATTCGTTGTCCATTAAGGCCAGCTCGTTTGGTAGTCAACAAGCATCGATAACACAGAAGCTATTTGAAGTTATTTAAAGGATCATTTGTGTCTCTGCCCCAGAGGGGAATTAATCTCAAGTTATTTAGTCTTTAATATAATACCAAATGACCGATTGAAAAGCTTAAACAATTCATAAGCCACCTTACGAATACTTACATCTTTTGGTTTAATTAATTTGTAACACCTGATTCCTTACATGTAATCTGTTTTCGTTTACTATTCTTGGTCAGAAAATTCTCCGAGTTGTTTTTAAAGCGACTGAAGTAATGTGGTCTTAGCATTTTATGTGTCAAACTAAGGGACTCACTGACAAACTCCATCCTTTCTATAATTTTTAGAACATTTCGAAAAGGTATTTTCACTTATTAAAATTAAGATAGGAGCCATACGATTAGCTTTTATTTTCTTAAATTACACAACATTAGCACTAATTAAACAGTCATAAGATCTCTTCTTAAACTTTTTCCTACAATTCTTGTGAGAACTAAGGATAATATCCCGTTGTTTGGAATAAATCAGGTGTGATGGTGTTCAACTTAGTTTTTAAATAGTTCAGTATATTAACGAAAATAGTTGTAAAAAGGTAAATTATTGTAGGTTTGCTCTATTCTCAAACCAACGCAATCCTAAGATCCTGGATAAAAACCACTCTGGTGTGGTACGCTAACTCGAGCAACAAATACTATACGTTTTTCCTGGTACCGTTCTATGTAAAAGACCTTCGGTGGCAACTCGATCAACGATCGTTTCCTGTTCTGCCAACCCTTTCGTTCTACAATCGCACATTCGCCGATCAGTCCCACGAAAAATCTCGCTACGTATCAAAAGAGTAATCCCTTTCTAGCGAGGGGCTCCTGTAGTGACCTCCTTTTATGAAGATTTATTTATTTAAACACATAAACATTGGTACAAGGAGGCACCAAATAAATATGCGCCACATAAATCATTCGATTTGTGTGTGGGCTGTGATACTACCCGGGTGTCCAGACCGAAGCAGGTGGTTTTCTTAGGGGTCCACACCCCGAGCCTTGGACCTAAAGGTCTGACCCACAAGGCAATGTAGCATCGTGAGGAGATGCAATCCCATGGTAGCCGGTGACCAACGATTGGTTCATACGCCATTTGTTCCTGCAGGATACTGGAGCCCATGTGCACCATTGGTTTGGAATCTGGTTAAAGCGTTGGACATTCGCTTTTCGTCCTCTCAATTTCGTAAACAACACCCCCGCCACGAGGAGGCAGTTAGTAGGACTTCCCTGGCAGAGGCTGTGTACTTGTGGCCGTGTGAGAACATTTCGAGAGGGAGGGAGGGCCAACCTTGTTGCACATTATCGTATTGATATTTTTCAATGTATAAAATCAGGGCAACAACTTGATATGGTGGATAACGATAAGTGGCATTAATATAATAGCCTCCGAGGTACAGGTCATCAATTTCCGACCTGTCTCTTTTATTCCCCATGATCCAGAAGTTTGATTCGCGGCTCTGGAGTCTCAATTCGAAATCCGCCGCATAACGAATCAACGGCAGAAATATTCTTACGCTCTGGAAATTCCACCCGGGGAATAGCATTGCTGCTGTTCGTGAGGTTGTCCTCAACCCAAATGTACCTAATGTTTATGATCGTCTCAAGGAGGCGATCCTCAGACATTTCCTCCCATCGAGGGAGGAACGCTTGAGGACACTATTAGCACGTCACCTGGGTGACGCTAAACCGAGCCATCACCTCACGCGCCTGCAATCTCTCACAGGACCTACGACAGCAGATTCCGAAATCGTTAAAGAATTATGGCTTGAATCTCTCCCAGTACATATACAGCCAAAGATTACGGCTCTGCTCGAAGATAGACCAATTAACCAGGTGGCCCTCATAGCAGATAAGATACTGGCAAGGACTAGCACCCGAGACGATCATATAGTTGCCTCAACATCACGCTCGAATGTAGATCTCGACGCTAGTCGCCTTTCGGCTCAGAGTGACAGGGGTAGCTCTATTCATACCCGTCTCAATTTTCGAAACAGTTCCAATATACCAGAGCCTTGTGTCCCCCGAGCCAGGTCTTGCTCCTGCAAAGCCGTAATTACTCGCCCTGAGTGGGCATCTCCCAAGCCACGCCAAAAGGCGGCTTCATAAGCGAGTACGGTTTGGTGTTGGTTCCACAATGCCTTCGGGTCCGGTGACCGCCGTTGGCGAGACTCCTACTCATACAAGGGGGGAAACTCCCAAGCCAGTGAATAAATGCGGCCGTACTCGCCGGCCCAACCCCTACATACACGACACCACTCAAGGGGATGACTATTTTTTTCTAAAATCGATCTGGTACGAGCATATCATCAAGTCCCAGTCGCTCTTGAAGATATCGAGAAAACCGCTATCACGACTCCTATCGGCCTGTCTGAGTTCTTACGAGTGCCATTTGGATTACGGAATTCTAGTAGCTAGTAAATTGTCGAACTCACGTTTATCGAAAGCTAATCTGTGCGGTGCCAGTCGGCGAGGTTTTGCCGTGACTGGGGGTCCGCGAGTGACTATGTTTTGTACCACACGTTGGACACTTACCCACCACCCTACTTGGGTGGAAAAAAGGGCATAATAATTAGAAGGAAACACTAAGAAGTGAAATCTTTCGATTTAAAGGTTGTGTGAGGAAACGTGCAGACTACCTATTAAGGCTTTTAAAGGAATGAGAATTAATAATTAGCTTATACCTATTCACTTTCCAGCTCTTCCTAACATACTTGAACTTCTTTTTCGTCGTCGTTTTTATGTGTGGTGTTCAGTTGTATAGTAATTTGACTCATCACACCTTATCCATGTAGGAGAAAATATTCAAATAACATTTTCAACTCAGAATGCTTGTCTTACAGCAGTACGACAAAACTAAGTGTTGAACTGCACTATATTCTTATCCTTGGATTAAAAACCAACAGTTTACACAGCTCTGTATTGTCCATGTCAATTAAATCGAATAACTGACCTCCATCATCACAAAAAACACTAGGCATTTGATCAATAACAAACTTAAAACCCACTTTTTTGTAGCTTTTACCAGTAAGAACATTATTGCTCTATTAATTGAAGCTCTTAAATAGAAGACCTATATATTGACTATTACTCTGATTAACAATTTAATGTGCATTAGAATTCGTAACAAATCTAATCTATCTTCTTCAATCAGTATCACATATTTCAGTAACTGATCACCACCTGTATGTGTTTCATATTATCTAAAAGTTCACGTTGAACTTTTATTATTTCTCTACTTTTAGGGTACAGGTATATTGAAAGCAGGTTTCGCAGGTGATCAAGTACCAAAGTACCGATTTCCAAATTAGTAAGTTAATTGGTCGGTTTACCTCTAATGTCCCCCCCTCCCCTCTTTAAAGTATTGGCCGTCCAAAACATGTTAGAGTTATGGCAGGTGCTCTTGAAGGTGATGATTTTATTGGTCCTAAAGCAGAGGAACATCGTGGTTTATTAAGCATACGATATCCTATTGAACATGGTATTATTCGTGACTGGAATGATATGGAACGTATTTGGGCTTATATATATGGCAAAGATCAATTGATGGTTAATAGTGAAGAACATCCAGTTTTATTGACAGAAGCTCCACATAATCCAAAAAGAAATAGAGAGAAAATGGCAGAAATATTCTTTGAAACATTTAGTGTACCTGCGCTTTACATTTCAATGCAAGCGGTATTAAGTTTGTAAGTCATCGATTTTATATAGACGATTATATGATACATTGTTTCTCTATTATAATTGCTTACGACCGTAATTATTTTGAATTGTAGTAGTTTCCTTAAAAATAACTACCAACGATATCACACTTAAATAGAATTCTCTAAACTTGATTTTTGTAGACCGTAACCTAGTTTTAATATCATCGCACGAGACTTCAAGGCAAAAGTGGTACCAAATGATCAGGTCTCTATTACCAGTCCTTTACTTTTAGTCACTGTCAAAATTAACCGACTAGAAAGATGTATTTTCACTACTTATTCTCACTCTTTGAAGAATTACAGCTCTGATACAGTAAAGAACGAGTTTTATTGCCAATAAAGTTATTTTTACTACAAAACTCATTCGAAAAATATTGTGGTTCCAGTTGCAGACTTGAATATCCAGATTGGGTGTTCGAATATATATTTATTAATTATTATTTATTTAAACACATAAACATTGGTACAAAGGTACATTGAATACATATGCGCTACATAAATCACTTGATTTGTGTGTGGGCTGTGATACTGCTCGTGTGCCCGAACCGAAGCAGGTGGTTTTCTTAGGGGGTCACTCCCCGGGCCTTTGACCTAAAGGTTTAATCCACAAGGCAGTGGAGCATCGTAAGAGGATGCAATCCCATGGTAGCCAGTGACCAACAATAGGTCCATACGCCATCTGTTCCCTCAAGACCCTGGAGCCCATGTGTACCATTTGTTTGTAATCAGGGTTCTCCAACTCTCGGTTAAAGAGCCAGACACTCTCCTTTCATCCTCTAAATCTGGTAAACGACGCTTTAGACACGAGAAGGCAGTGAGTGGAACTTCTTTGACGGTGGCTGTATACGTGTGATTATGTGAGAGCTAACTCTCTCCACCCTCAACCATACCAGAGCATCTGGGGGGTGAATATATACTCAGTTTGAAACCACACTTTAGGTCTAAGAACTAGTGATACTACCTGACCGCTTAAACTGAGATGGATAAAGTAACACAATTTAAACTTGAGATTTATTGGTTGAAAGTCAATTACTTCAATCACCAAGCCTAAGCCATGACTCCAGTATTAAGTGTTGACTTGGTACTTTGTGTACCCAAAGTGTGATCGACCAATCCAACTCGGTAATCAAATAAAAATCCGCCTATTAAATTGCTCAATTATGTAGATAAAATGGGATTTCACCGCATCAGTCAGTTTCAATATTATTGTAGGTGGAAGAGTCCTTGCTATCCCTTGATTATTACTGAATATATTTAATCTACAATCACTGTGTTGTAGATTAATTACATTAACCATACTAAATACCACCACGCCTAAAACTATTAACAAAATAAGTATCTATTTGGCATACCCAGGTTTTTATCGACTACTCGTCTGTAATAAATACATGACTAATTTCCTGTTAAAATTAATTAAATTCTTTATGATTTATAGAGGTGAGGCATAGATTAACTTATCTTTTTTTCAATAGTTGAGATCATGAGTCGATTGAAACTAGACCACCATGAAAAATCTGGAAGCACTTCAACTAGTTGAAGTTAGACATTAACACTGTTAGATGCCGGCAAGTTCAGTGGTCTAGTGGTTAAGCGCTCACACGCGAGACTGATAGGTCCTGGGTTCGAATCTCGAGAGGCGGGGTCGTGCATGTGCACTGCCGAGGAGTTCCGCAATGGGACGAAACGGCCATTCAGTGCTTTCAGGTTTTCCATGGTGGTCTAGCTTGAATTGACTCTTGATCTCAACTATTGAAATTACTACATTCTCTACAAAACCCCTTCTGATACTTATCTTTTTTCTCGTTTTAAAAACATAAAAATCAGATATTCCACTGGACGAACTACAGGTGTTGTATTAGATTCAGGTGATGGTGTAACTCATGCTGTACCTATCTATGAAGGTTATGCTCTTCCACATGCTATTGAACGTACAGATTTAGCTGGTCGAGATGTAACACGTTTTTTACGTTTATTATTACGTAAAGAAGGTGCTGACTTTCATACAACATCAGAATTTGAAATTGTTCGCCAAATAAAGGTAAATAAATTAATAGAGGTTTAACTGTAGAAAATTAGTTTCTTATTCTGTCAAGTGATTTTATGAGTGTTGTATATGGTTCAATAGAGAAATCTGTTTTACAATTTTAATAATTAATCAAAGCTTTCATGAAAGACCGGTGTCAGACAAGGCTGCTTACTCTCCCCCTTTCCCTTCTGATGGTTGACTGGATTATGAATACCTTCACATCTCAGGGGTAGCTTGGAATACAATGTACAGGTCGGATGCAACTAGACAATTTGAACTTGGCAGATGAATCAGCTCTTCTGTTCTATACACACGAACATATGCAGATGAAGACAACCAGTGTAACAGCAGTCTCTGCATCACTAGTCCTCAATACGCGTAGGGGAAAAAACTAAGATCCTCAAGTACAACACGGAGAGCACCAAGTTAATCACACTTGGTGGAGAAACTCTGGAAGACGTGGAAAATTTCACATATCTAGTCAGTATCATTTGTGAACAGGGAGGGTCTGATGCAGATTTGAAGGCAAAGACTGGAAAGCAAGGGTGGCATTCCTACAGTTGAGGAACATATGGAGCTCAAAACAACTATCAACCAATATCAAAGTCACAATCCTCAACACGAACGTCAAGACAGTTCTACTGTAAGGAGCTGAAACTTCGAGAACTACCACGACCATAATCAAAAAATGTGCAAGTATTTAAAAACATTTGTCTACACAAAATACTCGATGTTTGTTGACCGAATACTATTACCGACAGCCTACTATGTGAGAGAATAAACCAGCTTTCAACTGAAGAAGAAATTAGGAAAAGACGTTGGAAGTGGATAGGATACACATTGAGGGGATCATCAAACTACATCACGAAGCAAGTGATAACTTGGAATCCTGAAGGCATAAGGAAAAGATGACGATCAAAGAACACACTGTATCGAGAATTGTAAATGGATGAATAGTAACTGGAAACAACTGAAAAGGATTGTCCAGAATAGAGTTGAATGGAGAACGGTAGTGGGCGACCTATGCTCCTCCACGAGGATTAACAGACGTAGGTAAGTTAATTCTTTCATGAAGAAGTAATAACAACGAATGTGTATGATTATGATATTTTACAGAATATGCAAATACTGCGATTAATTAACGAGGACCAGAGCATGAAGACAGCTAAAATGTCGTTTTATATGTAAGAAAAAAATTCATATCAATAGAATGCTGGATAGTTTATTGATAAGGTGACTTAAATCATTATTGATCCCCAGTTGACGTTAAATAATTCCTAAAGTAATCCTGTTTTGTAATTGAATTATTTATTTATTTAAACACATAAACATTGGTGCAGAGAGGCACCAAATAGATGTGCGCCACTTAAGTCACTTGATTTGTATGAGGACTGAGATACTGCCTGGGTGCCGAAACCAAAGCAGGCGGTTTTCTTAGGGGGTCACATCCAGAGCCTTCAACTTAAAGGTCTAATCCACAAGGCAGTAGAACAATGTAAGGAGATACAGTCCCATGGCAATTGAATTAATTGGACAACATTGATGTTCATAACAAGTTTAATACATCGTTTATAGGAAATGAGAATTAGTATATACTTTATAATAAATGGATTCATATGACAATCATTCGTATAATAATCAAATCAGTATATGGATTTTTGATTAAATTAAATGTATAATTCAAATAAACAACTACACATATTTTAACAAAAAATTCACTTCAATAAAACTTTACAATGAATCATCTGAAGTAGTAAAAAGTAATGAATAGAATTATTTACATATTTATTTTTATTTTATTTGAACATATAAATATTGGTACAATGAGGCACCAGATACATATGCACCCCACAAATCTCGTCAGATTTGTGTGAGGGTTGTGATACTGCCCAGGTGCCCAAACCGAAACAGGTGGTTCTCTTAGGGAGGCACACCCGGAGCTTTCGACCTGGAGGTCTAGTCCACAAGACAGTGGAGCAACGTCAGGATATACAGTCCCATGGTAGCCGGTGACTAGCAGTAGGTTCATACGCAATTTGTTTCCCCAGGATCCTGGAGCCAGCTCATGTGCACCGCTGGTTTGGAATCAGGATTTCCCAACTCCCCTAGGTGAACCCTCTGTGTCCACCAACCAGGTTAAAGCGCCGGAATTTCAATTTCGTAAACAACACAATGAGTAGGACTTCCTTGTCAGAGGCTATATACGCGTGTCCATGTGAGAGCATTTGAAGAAGGAGATCTAACTCTCCCCACTCTCGACCGTACCAAGGTATTTGGGGGCCATAAGGTATGTGTATGGTTTAGGCGAATAATATGTGAGTGTTAAAAATGATTCAACGATTACCACTATTGATAAGAGAAAAAGCTGAATAAGGTTTTTCTTTTCCGATTTTCACTTATTTAGGTTATATCAATCCACTAGAAGATATAAACACCATGTTCAGTTCATTTTGTATTGTTTGTTTGAATCTTCCCATTGATATTTAGGATTGCGATCAATCAGTCTCTTATTGACATATGTGCATCTTGTGAGGATTGCCTTCGTTCTATTTTAGACTTGTCAGCCGGATTTAACTGCATACATATGACTTAAGGCAATCCACATAGGATGTACATATGCCAATAAGAGACTGATTGATTGCAGTCCTGAACACCAATGAGAAGATTCAAACAAATAATATCAAGTGAATTTAAACTTCACTCCATTTCACAAGCAAGTGGCTATCTGAACTCAATAGCTAAGTGAATAACACGGTGGCGTTTGAAGCGAACGGTACTAGGTTCGAGTCATGGAGTAAATATCAACTCAGAGATGTAGGTACATCGAGCTGTGACGAGTCCCAAATAGGACGAAGTGACGCGCGTCCTGGATTCCACTGCTAGCCACTATCCATCTTTGCTTATAATCATATTCAGTGTTATGAACAGACCTAGTCTAAGACGATAACAGAAATTCCTAAGTTTCATTTATTCTTCCTAGTTGATATAAGTTAGTGACATGAAGTATTTTAAAAAAGCGTTTGAATAAATTTACATTAAAGAAATACTCTTTAACTAAACTATTTTTTTATAACCATAACTAAGTATCAAAAGAGGTTTTTGTGGATATTCTAGTAATTTCATTAGTTGAGATCATGAGTCAATTGAATCTAGACCACCAGGGAAACCCTGGAAGCACTGGACGACCGTTTCGTTATAGTATAGAACTCCTTAGCAGTTCACATCCATGATCCAACCTCGCGAGATTCGAACTGAAGACCTATCGGTCTCACGCTCGAAATTGAGCAACACATCCACCATTGTCTTCAGTGAGTTACTATCTCACAGTAGTTAAATCTTTTAATTTCTAACTAATGAGTCGTACATTCAAGTCGGTCTGTATTTACCTCGGTTTGGAGTAAGGAAAGATACATCAAATGTAGCTCAATCAAGAATACTAACATATACATCTATATAATTTATTTAATTCTCTCTTCACTTTTCTTTTCTTAATTTTTGATAATAATTAGGAACGTGCATGTTTTATTAGTTTAAATCCAAGTAAAGTTGAAGCAATGGAAGCATTAGCTTCATATCCATTACCAGATGGTTCTACATTAGAAATTGGTCCAGCACGTTTTCGTGCACCAGAATTACTATTTCGACCAGATTTAATGGGTCAAGAATATTTTGGTATTCATCAAGTAAATTTGATTTATAATTAATTTTTTCTATTGTTTTATACTTTTTACACCATTAATGGTAGTATCTGTTTAGTTAACTCTTTATAAGCATTTAATCTTTCTTACTTATAATTTGTATGAGTATTATTCATTTAAAACAGTGTGAATATGTAACCATGTTACGTTCTAAGAGATGACGATATCAGTCAGTCAGTCAACTACAACGTAGGACCAGGCACATATATGCATCAGTCCAGGTTGCCATACCTCATTAGCACAGCAAGATGAACACCGGATTCATAGAAGTGGTTAGGTTAAAGGTGGTAATATATAGGAGAAAGATTGCATATAAGGATACAGTACCGGAATATAGAATTAGTTCATAGAAAGAAAGATATGAAGCGATTTTAATCTCTTAGTTTAAGGGAAGACAAGGAGTGTATGCACCGACGCCATTGTGATCGATTCTGAGCCATGTCACCAAGAGTCTCCAACCATCGGTTAAGAAAGTCACGCGGACCCCAACCAAGTAGTCTGCATCTACCAACATGGCTCAGACTAGAGGTTAGTGTCTTTAAGCACTGATGCCACGTTTTGGTTTGGCCGCCCCTAATTCTCTTCCAACCATCTCTAACACCGGTTAGCATTGCACGACGTGGTAATCGGTGTTCAGGCATACGTAACACGTGGCCCAACCATCTCAGTCGATGAAGATTAACAACCTCATCAACTGATTTACCATCATTCCCTAATACCCTGAGTCTAACCTCACTATTACTTACCCGGTGATCCCAACAGACGCCAGCAATATTTCTAAGGCATCTGTGGTCAAATACTAGTAGCTTACGAGTGTTTTCTAATCTTAATGGCCATTTTTCGCTGCCGTAAATTAAAACAGAACGGACTGCCGCGCAGTATACTCGTCCTTTTATTGATAGACGGATATCTCGCCTTCGCCACAGGTGACGTAAGTTGGCAAAAGCCAAACGAGCTTTTCGAATCCGTGCTGAGATTTCGTCCGATACCAACCCATTAGGGCTGATCAGACTTCCAAGATAAGTGAAGTTGTCAACGCGTTCGACTACTTCACTCCCTATCCTTAGTTCAGGTGTTAACGCAGACCAGTCCTGAAGCAACAACTTGCATTTAGAGGGAGAGAAGCGCATTCCAAACATTCTGGCATTGTTGCTTAGTGCTACCAGAAGACTGCATTTTGTCAGCGTCTTCACCAAACAGGACTATGTCATCTGCGTATTCTAAGTCGATAAGTGGACCTCCTGGATGGAGATCAATACCCGAGAACTCAGTCGACGAGAAAGTTATTTCCATCAGTAGATCTATGATGAAGTTAAACAAAAATGGGGAAAGTGGACATCCTTGGCGGACACCACTTTAGGTTGCAAAAGTAGATGAAAGTTCGCCATAAGCTCTGACTCGACTAGTAGTGTTCGAGTAAAGAGCCTTTACAAGGTTTCTGTACTTCTGGGGTACGCCTTTCAATGACAGACACTGCCACAGAATCTCGCGGTCTACCGAATCAAATGCTGCTTTTAAGACAAGAAAGACCACAATTGTCGGACGCAGATAAGTATGCCTGTGTTCTAGAACCTGACGGATGGTGAATATGTGGTCGATGCAGCCACGACCAGGTCTGAAGCCAGCTTGGTTTTCTCGTGTTTGCAGTTCACGAGTCTTAGTTAGGCGTCTGATATCACCTAAACTGGTGAACGGAAGGAATGGTCAGCAACACAATAGGACAAGTTAGACTCTCGCACTGCTCCCCAGCTCTGCTAACTAGTAGGAGCAGATCAGATTCAGCCAAGGGAAATGTATATTCCACGAACAGTTGGAAGCACAAACGAACAAGTACACAACTAATGCGTATATATACAGTACTACAGTATTCTTGAAAAGCGTCACAAGATAGCGTAGTAAAAGAAGAGCAAACAAGTCAATGATATTTAAGATCCTTCCAAGTTGGAAATACAAACTGATGGTAAAATTGAGCGCTTTTATCGCGAAAATGAGACATTTACCAAATGAGTTCTGAGGATCTAACATCCCTAACAAGTCATTCAAAATGAAAGGAATCCAAAAGATACTAAAATGAAACAATCGCTCAAGGCTTCGTGTTTATTAATGGTTATCCCAGTCTAAGTCAATTAGCGATATGTAACTTAAAACTCAATAATCTCTATAACACTCTATGATTACTAAAAAGAAGTATAATACATAATTAATTCACATTGGTAGACTTACCAAAAATTTTAATATTCAGTCCAATACTACTCTCCTATAATATGATTCATGATTGTTTTTAAAAAAATTGATAATATTAGATACCTTTGTGTACCACTTTAATATTCCATCATGGATATGATGTAACCATTAAGCGAATAGTTTCCGTATTAAGATCCATTGATTGATTAATTGATTGTATATACTCTTATCGGTATGTATGGTTCAATACCTTCTATAATATAAAATCTAGGTTATATGTTACGAACAATTTGAATGATGTCTCCATTCAGGAAGTTGATATAGTGAACCAATTAGAAGTAGCCGAATGTAAAAGTCACTTTTGCTAAATAACAAATAAATTTCACTAGCTGAGAAATAGATTGATTTTCTAAGGAGTAAAAATATATATACATATATATAATTTGGTACCCTAAAAGACTTTCCCCTCCACTCTTGTCTTCTTGCTCAGTAGTTAATCGGGTGGGGAGGTTAATACGTATGACATTGTGTATCAGTATCAGATCTTGAATACCACACTTCATAACAGAGGTCATTAACTGTTAGTTGAAACCGTGTACAGAACTACAGATTAATTGTCGTCTTTTCCACTACAATACAATCAAAACGGTGCTACAACAGGTTACCAAGAGATACACTCCGACAAGAAAATCATACTTACTTACGCCTGTTACTCCCAATGGAGCATAGGCCGCAGACCAGAATTCTCCGGCCCACTCTGTGTTGGGCCTTCCCTTCCAGTTCTGTCCAGTTTTCGTTCATTTCTCTAATATCTATCTCCATTTCTCGGTGTAATGTGTTCTTTGGTCTTCCTCTTTTCCTTGGGCCTTGAGGATTCCGAGTGATGAGGGCTTGCCCTGTAACACAGTTAAGTGCTTTCCTCAATGTGTGTTCTATACACTTCCAGCGCTTCTTCCTAATTTCTTCCTCTGTTGGGATCTGGTTTGTTCTCTCCTACATTAGGTTGTTGCTGATAGTGTCTGGCCGACGAATCCGAAGTATTTTGCGTAAACAGCTGTTAATAAACACTTGTATCTTCTGGATGATGGTATTTCATTTAAAGCAGCTTAAATACAATCAAAACGAATTTTAGTGAGACTATAATTTACGGAGGACCTTTGAGTGACGTTAAAATGACCCTGAGAATATCCATCTACTAACTAGGGCTAAATGGGAGTTATAAACCTGTGTGAAGAATAAGGATTATGATTTGCAATTGATGGTTAGAGTTAATAATTAGGTTTAGGCTTTTCATCACGAACCGACATCAGTTAAAATGCCAAAACTCTATTTAGCCAAATGGATGAATGAATTTTACGACAAAAATCCGAGATCTGTTCTCCTAAATTTGATTGGTTCGTTCATAAATTATAGTCTCGCTAATAACGTGAAGTATGGAAACTTCTGGGATTACATGTGTAAACTGCCTTCCATTTATAAAAATATGATCATTACTATGCTCAAATACATGTTCTTAGATTTTTGAATTCCCTATACAATAGCATGATTAAACATGAGTACTCATTGCCAAGCAACTATTATCTAACACAGAAACTCTTCTCATACTCTGTGCTCAAAGTAGTCACATTTGATGAATTAGTAACAAAACTGCTCTCACTAATGTATTGTACTTTTACAACCAGACTAACTCCAAGATGGTAATTATGACTTTCACAATACGTAGAATTGTCTTATCTTCCATAGCATTTACACAAATATATAAACTTCAAGACTACCTTCAAAAATTTACCCCTTATGGTAGATGCAGGTACATCTTCCAGTCAGTCATATAAAACTAATTTGCGTTTTAATAACCGAACGTACGGTTTAGCTGATGTGTATATTATTGAAGTGTAATAAAACATTGTCCATTTACTTAAAGTTCGAAAGTATTTTCTCAAGCCAACAGATTTATGATTATGAACTGGATGCTTTCATTAAGTCACATGAAACTCCACTTTCTACTTTCATGACTTCTTGCAAATGTAACCGATGTTCATTTACTCTTTTCAGCAAATTAAGTGCTAAATAATTCACTTACATTCATTTACTGACCATGGAAACGTAGCATTCCAAAACTTGATCGAAATTTCAATAGGTATTTTAAAAGGAGCCGTGATTCTGTTCCTATTTACCTCATCGATGATTGATTACAATATGATCTATCTAAAACCATGCTTAGGTTTCGGAGGGAGGACTTCAAAAACACAATAACAATAACCATCAATAAGGAAAAACTGGTCAAGAATATCTTCTGTTATTCGTCCTCTTTAAACACCCAAACAACTATTCTCTATACCTTAACTCTTGATTTGCACACTCAAGTTATCAATTGACATCACAATATCTATCGAACGAAAAAAAAGCGAAATTGTTGTGTTCCCTTTGTAATCAATCTATAAGTTATGAGTTTGAATATTGATTCCGTTCATAAAATCAGATAGTATCTCTATGTCTCATACAGTAATTGTTATTAGAAACCTTTATACTTTATTATCAAGTTCTGTTAGCTTTTTCAAATCTTCAACCTTCGTTGCACAAACCATTCAGCTGAACATCGTTTCATTTCATTAGTAGTATTATTGCTTGTTTAAATGTCAGTAATGAGGTGTAGAGACTGTTGAACTTCGCTGAACTCATGCAACGATCTAAGTTGGACCGGCATTGAAAACGTGGAGGCACTAGACGGCTGTTTTGTCTCAGTATGGTATTCTTCGACAGTGCATATCTACGACATTCCACTCAAGGGAATAGGACTCAAAACTTTCGGTCTCGCGCGAGAATTCTTGACCACTGGATTAGCATCCAACGGTGTTAATGTCTAGCATCTAGAAGTTAAGTGTTCTCTCGTAAGACCGAAAGCCCTGGGTTTGATTCCCGCGCTCAGGACTCTGGGTACCCACCTCTGAAGAGTCCACGACTAGGACGAGATGGTCCTCTCAATGGTGGTCTGATCCAGATTAATTCATGATCTCAATAAGATTGTTTATCTACTGGAAACATGTTGTATGAATGTAACAATGTGCACATATATAAATCTATAATGTTCTGCTTTCAGGTATTAGCTTATGCCATTCAAAAATCCGATATGGATTTAAGACGTATGTTATATGAAAATATTGTACTGTCAGGCGGTTCGACGCTTTTCAAAGGTAAGTTTTCCATGTTTTATACCACGTGTAGAACAGGCATTACTCTTAATATGTTATGTAACACTAAATTCCAATATATTCAGTTTGAATATTCTTCACGAAAGAAGAACTTAGTTTGATGCATTTCATTCAGTATCAGAAGATTTGCAACTATCTAGTTGAAAGTTCGAGCCCAAAATAGTACCGCCAGGCTTCACATAAAACATGTGGTTGAAATCCAGGTAGAGGAAATGTATAACTGGTTATTAACTTAAGTCTATATAATACTCTAACCAGGTATATCCAGGATGTGTTCCATCATATTTAATCCTTATAAGCTTAAGACGTGGATGTGTCTCGCCTAAATATTGTTGACTCATTAACGGAGTCGTAAGATGATTGATGGTTAACATCATTTGATGAAACTGACTAGCTGCACTATCATATTTTAAGTTTTTTTTCTAAACTTTACCAGTATCATCTAATTTGTATTTGTTATGAATGATTACTTTCGATAATGCAATGAGAAGACGTAGTTTATCAGTATTACCAGGGTAGGTTAAGTGTAAGTACTGATTTACTATCCAGAGTGGTAATCACATTTGTTTTTGTGTCCTTTAATATTTTTTCTTTGTTATGACTTACCCTTAACCTGTCTAGTTGACCTTTTAATTTTTCATATATAAATGGTCTTAACAAGTACATTATGTGTGATCAGATTGTTCGAAATGTATTGTGCCAATCTATTATCACATAATTCTGATAGACTACGTCTTTTCATTGCATTATCGAAATTTATCAAAGGGACTAATTGTTTTAAATGATTAGTTAGCTACAAATTTGTATATTGCGCAGCAGTCCACTCTGTTCTTTTTTATGTTTGTAGAACATGGTCTATGATAGTAGAAGATATGCGTATTCCGAAGGCTTTTAATTATCGATGTCTTTGATATATTGCTCGCGTTTTATGGAATGACCGAGTGAGCAATGTTAAGGTATAGGTATATGGTACTTGTTATCAATGCCAAATATTTCTCTGATGTAGCAAATCTTCATCCATTGAGATGGTTAGGACATGTGTTACTGATGCCTAGCCAGTGCCTCGTTGACCGAGTAATACTTACTTATTCAGGAGTAGTTTATTTATTTATTTATTTCAACACATAGATAATGGTACAAAGAGGCACCAAATACATATGCGCCACACAAATCTCATTCGATATGTGTGAGGGCTGCGATACTGCCCGGGTGCCCAAACCGAAGCAGGTGGTTTTCTTAGGGGGCCACACCCCGAGCCTTCGACCTGAAGGTCTGATCCACAAGGCAGTGGAGCATCGTAAGGAGATGCAGTCCCATGGAAGCCGGTGACCAACAATTGGTTCATTCACCATTTGTTCCCGCAGGATACTGGAGCCCATGTGCACCATTGGTTTGGAATCCGGTTAAAGCGCCGGACATTCGCTTTTCGTCCTCTCATTTTCGTAAACAACACCCGTGGTGTGAGAAGGCAGTGAGTAGGACTTGTGTGGCAGAGGCTATATACGCGTGGCCATGTGGGGAGATTTCGAGAGGGAGAGTGGACTCTCCCCACTCTCGGCCGTACCAGGGCATTTGGGGGCATTCAGGAGTAGGTTAAAAGAAAGATAGGAGCAGTCAATCCATAATATGTGGCATCAGTCTATAAAGTCATTAACTGTTGGTCTCAACCATGTAAGTAGGTCCAGTCTATCTGGTTGGATTCTACGTGATTCTTGTGACCAGTATTTGGGGGAGCCTTTGAGGGATATAACTCAGAAGCGCTCATTTTCTTGTCTCCCCTTAGATCTTGGGTTTTAAGATTATTTCATCCCCTTTATTTCGCAAATTAATTCTATTTAATTTCTGTACTATCACTAACACTACCACTTGGATACTGATCTCAGTGGTACTGATTTGGTGCGGTAACTTAGACTGATTCATGTATGTTTCAGGTTCTACGTTGCTTTCGACTAAACGTTTTAATTATTATCTGGTAGGTCGATTTACCACGAACGGAATGTATTTTTAAAATAAAATTCATTTACGAAACACAGGTTGGTGTGTGCCATCAGGTTTGAGTCACAACATATATGAGAGCTGCCGCCAAATGCCCTGGTACGGCCAAGAGTGGGGAGAGTCCGCTCTCCCTCTCGAAATCTCCCCACATGGCCACGCGTATATAGCCTCTGCCACACAAGTCCTACTCACTGCCTTCTCACACCACGGGTGTTGTTTACGAAATGGTGAGGACGAAATGCGAATGTCCAGCGCTTTAACCGGGTTGGTAGATATAGAGGGTCCACCTAGGGGAGTTGGAACATCATGATTCCAAACTAATGATACATATGGGCTGGCTCCAGAATTTTGAGGAAACCAATCGTTGATCACCGGCCACTATGGGACTGCATCTCCTTACGATGCTCCACTACCTTGTGGATCCGACCTTCAGGTCGAAGGCTCCGAGTGTGGCCCCTTAAGAAAACCACGTGGCTCGGTTTGGGCACCTGTGCAGTATTGCAGCCCTCACACAAATCAAATGAGATTTGTGTGGCGCATATGTATTTGGTGCCTCCTTTTACCAATATCTATGTGTTAAAATAAATAAAATGAGAGTTGATAAATTCTCACCCAACCACTTGAACTTAAACTTATTATGAACTTCAGTCCGACATATATCCACTTAATCGCGTCAATTGATTAAATAAAATGTCCACTAATTACAAGTTTTCTCACGAGAATAGATGCACCTGAGCTATTGCAAATGATTTTGAGTCATTTCATTTAGAGTCTCTAACCACTAGTTGCAATAATCATACAGACTTCAAACAGGGTAGTCTACACTTATTAACACATGATCTATTTCAATGACTTTATGGACACTAACTACCACCAACTACAATTTTACATTTCAATGATTTTTTTCTGCTTAACGTTTTTTTAGCGAGTCAGTTTTCTACGAGATAGGGTCGTCAACCCTATGCCCAACCCTCCTCTTTTATCCGAGCTTGAGATCGGCATTAACCCCAGAGAGGGATCCAGGCAGAGTTATTTCAATGATTAATACTCATTAAAGTGATGACATTATCATTATCTTCTTTATATTTACTTTATTTAGGTTTTGGTGATCGTCTTGTTTTAGAATTAAAACGTTTAGCTCCAAAAGATGCACATTTACGAATATCTGCACCACAAGAACGTTTATATTCTACATGGATTGGTGGTTCTATTCTAGCTTCATTAGATACATTTAAACGTATGTGGATATCAAAAAGAGAATATGACAGTGAAGGTGCACGTGTTCTACATCGTAAATTTCTTTAAATGATAAAGAAAATACAATTATTCATTCTTTCATTTTTCTAATTGATCATCTCAATTGGGAACAACAACAACAACAACAACAAAAAGTATTACTAACTCAAAGGAAAATGGTTGTATGTGTGTTGTGTATATTGATTAATATAGGATCTGTATTTTCATTGAACACATGCACACATACACACACAGTAACGTATAATCTTTCTTGTTCTTCTCTTCTTTACTCTGATCTATTCTACTTGTAAAACAACCATATTTATCATCATCATCATAATGATAGTTGGATTATTTGTCATTCCTTTTGATTGTGCGTGGGGGGGAGGAGGAGTTGTTTTATTTTCTGAAAAGACATCCCAGTTTTACACTAAGATCATAAACACCGTACGTATATATGTGTGTGTATGTATGTAATGTATCCGTCCATATCTCTCACATGTTGTTTTCTATTTTTTCCTTTCCTTAACTAATAAGTAACCTCCATATGTACTTCTATCTGAAGAAGTGAAAGAAAGAATATCTTTATCAATTTCAGTTCTTCTCATTTTATTCTGTTCTATCTTTTTTTTTTATTCATTAAAGGATACTTTTAATTAAGAGAAAAAAAAAGAAGAAAAAATAAAGAGATTTAAAAAAAAAATTTAAAGAAACCTTATCTTCTTCATCTATTGGTTAGTATCCATGTGACTATTTATAAGTAAGTTCATTGTTTATTTTGTTTCTAGGTTCATGTAACAGTTTTTTTTTATTCTATAAATTAATACAAATTTTAATTTTGGTGGTTATTGTTTCTATATGAGAAAATGTTCAGTATTATATTCAATTCATTTATATAGTTGTTATTTTCTCTCTTCTTTTTTTTCTTTTCTTCTTGGGCTTGTCATATCTCTGTTTTCTTTTCGTTTCAATGGAAATATATATATATATATCTTTTCCGGTGTTGTGTTATCCCCCCCCGTTCTTCTTTTTCTTTGTTAGTTTTTTCTACCGCAACATATGAATTGCTTACTTAAATCACACACACACACACAAACAAAAGAGAACAATATGCTTTAAATATTGTGACGGATTTATTCTTGTGTAATTCTATTTTATGTATATTCGTCTATATGGATGAATTAGCTTTTATTTCATTATTATATAATAATAATCTGATTTTTACATATCTCTGTTTAATGTCGAAAACAATAACAACAAACAGTTTCCCTTAAACATATTCTCATTTCATTATATGTACATGTAGGTTGTGTGTGTGATGAAATATATATGGGCTTGATGAGTAAATGAGATTGTGTTCATTTGAAGTTTGAAGAGAGAGAGAGAGAGAGAAAGGATAGTGACGTTTATCAGAAGGGGTTTTTGTGTAGATTGTAGTCATTTCAATAGTAAATTGAAGCTAGACCACTAATGAAAACCTGAAAGCACTGGATGACCATTTTGTTCTATTGTGGGACTCCTCAGCATTGTGCGCATCCATCATCCTGTTCACAGGATTCAAACCCAGTGTCTTTAGCTTCGTGCGCGAACGCTTAACCTCTAGACCTCTGAACCTTCCAACATCCAACGGTGTTAATGTCTAAACTCAATCAATTCACAAAATTACGCGACCATCTTCGATTGTACTAAGGTAGATACTTGTCTCTACCCGACACGGATTAGCTCCACTGGTCATGGCTTCTTACTAGAACTCCGAGAATTCCCTCACGAAGCTAGTCACTAGTGAACACGTGGTAATTATCAATATAGGTTCGTGGAGATTATTAAGTTATTGATTGAAATTAGGAACCGATTGATGTTAGACTACCATTGGAAACCTGAAAGCGCTAGACGACCGTTTCGTCCCGTTGTGTGCCTCGTCAGCAGTGCGCATCTGCGATCCCGCACCAAAGGGACTCGAAACTAGGGCCTTCAGTCTCGCGTGCGAAAGCTTGACCTCTAGACCACTGAGAAATCAACATCCCTTCAAATCATTTGTTAAGTGATAGTATGTAAGAATACAGTGTCAAATGTAAGCTTCGATGCTGTGGACGTCTGACGATTTTGTTTAAAATTGCACAAATTCTCATAAACAAGGTACCAACATCTACAGATATCATTCGTTTCTCGTTTTGAATCATCTGACTAAATTTCAAAAACTCAACGATATTTTAGTATGAATATAAAAACGGAAACTACTGATGAATTGACTCAAGAAAAAAAAGGAAACAGGAAGATAATTACTCCAACTATTCATGATTCACTTCAACCCTATGAGATCAGACACATCACGACTCTATGGTTTACCCAAAACCCACACGTCAGGACTTCCTCTTTGTGAATTTTTAGATATACATAACTTTCCATGTCATAGAACTGGAAAGTGACTAGTTAGAACCCTAGATCCCTCATATGAACTAGTCGTCGACAAAAGCGTCATAGACGTTCTCGACTTCATTTGCGAGGTGTAACATAGGATTTTTAATGAAAAGTAGATGATATTTCTAGGTGATGCTTCCCTGTCTACCAATATACCGTTAACTAAGATAATTGACTATGTGTGTCAACAACTACTTGGGAACCAAATCTTCAATATAAAATGACAGAAAAATTGATGGCTTCACCTCTAGGTCCTATTCTAACTAACTTCTTACAAATGTAGAAAACAAACCTCTATTTATTACATGAGAAATCTAGGTAGATGCCTTTCAGATAGGACTAGAAAGATATGCTCAAATAACACTATGAATAAGTATAATTTATTGATTTTAATGGGTTACTCACAAGGTTTTCTGAAGAAATACTGGTATATAGTGAACAGGAAAGTAATTACATAGACGTGTTGTAAGAAACCTCTCGTCGTGAAGCTAAAATTCAACGCAGATAAAACTATTGACTTACTACGAGATAGACTAAATGAGTGAAGAGGACATTTAATGGACTTAACCCTTTTTTATCGTTTTCTAGTTGACCTGTGGCGGTCCTTAAACTTAATGCTACGTTATCCAATTCTACCACATCCATGTATATCTACAAATTCACCTACCTTTACATTGAAAGCGAAATAGGATGTACAATCAGACAACTGACCCAATGAGTTAGTGGGTAGTTCCTTTAATATTTAGGAAATGGTATGATCAAAATAAAACGCAGTTCCATCCTATCACAATTGACTGATAATGGCCATATAGTAAATAGTAATAAACTATCTAGTATAATTTATTGTATACCTACTATATTTCCTTATGGGTAAGATTTCATCTCTTACATATATCAGAAACTATAACGATCCGAGATAACAACTAATATCTTTGCAAGCAAAGATGGATGGTGGCTGGCAATTAGATTCAGGACGCACGTCTCGTCCTATTGGGGACTCGTCAGCTGGACGTACCTGCATCCTAGAGTTGATGTTCACTGTGGGACTTGAACCCAATATTGTTCAGCTTCAAACACCATCGTGTTATCCACTTAACTACTGAGTTCAGATATCCACTTGCTTGTGTAATGGGGTGAAGTTTAAATGCACTTACTGTTGTCTTACTTTTATCTTCACATTGTTATTTATAACTGCAATTGATCAGTCTCATGTTGGCATGTGTGCATCCTGTATGTATTGACTCAAAATTGCCTTAATTCACAGGCTTTTTAAACAAAAATGGATAGTGGATAGCAGTGGAATCCAGGACGCGCATCACTTAGTCTTATTTACAACTCCTTAGCTACATATACCTACATCTCATAGTTAATGTTCACTCTAGTTTATGTATTTATTTTAACACATAGATATTGGTACAAGGAGGCACCAAATACATATGCGCCACACAAATCTCATTTGATTTGCATGAGGGCTGTGATACTGCTCGGGTGCCCAGACCGAGCCACGTGGTTTTCTTAGGGGGCCACACTCGGAGCCTTCGACCTGAAGGTCTGATCCACAAGGTAGTGGAGCATCGTAAGGAGATGCAGTCTCATAGTGACCGGTGACCAACGATTGGTTCATATGCCATTTGTTCCCTCAGGATCCTGGAGCCAGTCCATGTGCATCATTGGTTTGGAATCATGATTTTCCAACTCCCCTAGGTGGACTCTCCATGTCCACTAACCCGATTAAAGCCCCGGACGTTCGCTTTTCGTCCTCTCAATTTCGTAAACAATACCCCCGCCACGAGAATGCAGCGAGGAGGACTTGTGTGACAGAGGCTATATACGCGTGTCTTTGTGAGAGCATTTGTAGAGTAAGAGTTGACTCTCCCCACTCTTGGCCGTACCAGGGCATTTGGTGGCTCGAACCCGATACTGTTCTCTCCAAACACCATCACATAATCCATTTAGTTACTAAGTTCTGATAACCACTTGCTTACTATTACTAACCACTATCTATCTTTGCTTATAATACTTGTTTGTTTGTCTGTTTTGTTTTGTTTTTCTTAATCATGAGTATTTCCATTTGATTATTGATTGACGATATACATATCTCTCTTCTTTATAAATCAATACAATTTTCATTGGTGTCATTCTTTAAAGAAGAAGAACAAGAACAAGAAAATCAATCATTTCTTACATTATACATTTATATTCAACAAAGAATACAATAGCACACATGATATATATACATAATGATTACCACACCTAATCTTTTAGGTTAATTGTCCTGAAAATATTCTATACTTTCTTTACTGATATGCATATAGTGATTCATTTATTGAATATAGAACGATATTATTATATTGAAGTAATAGTATTTTATAATGAAAATCATTCAATAACTAATTCTTAATTCATATTTACTTAACACCAATGTGAGGACGATCTACATGTGAACTCGAATAAGCTCTAATTAGTTCAGAAAGAGTCGAAAATATTCTATCTAATCATCTTTTAGAAGAATATTCCAGAATCCCTAAGTGTAGCTTCCCTATTGGACAAATGCTAAAAACCCCCTGTATGCGGATTGTCGATTGGACGCTACATTCGTTCCTAAGCTATTCTGATAACCCGCACGCTAGAACTATACAGCAACCTGAACACCAGAAGGAGACGCAAAAGTGTGAGAGAGACACTTTACGCAAGGTTCGTTTTTGTACAGAAAACATGGGTATTTATAGATGTTAACGTTTGTTAAATCAACATCATATTTCGGCCAATCCGTTAACGACATATTATGCTACTGACCAATAGTAGCACGCCACGTTGAAATTCTAGAATGCCCCATCATGCTCTGATTGGCTAGGACTCTTCGGCTTCTTTTGGGCCTCTGGAGGCTCCGTTGAAGCTCTCCGAAAGCCGACTCAACAATAATAATGATCTCATCTTTACTAAAAACTATAAATATCTGACAATTCTGTACTATAAATGACACTGTGTGGAACAGTTTCAGTCTTTGCTTGTCTTCTGTCTTCTCATTTGTGACTTGGAAGGGTTCTAGCTCACTAGTGACTGGCTTTGTGAGAGAATAATCGGAGTTGTAGTGAGAGGCCGTGACCAGTGGAGCTAATCCCTGTCGGGTAGAGACAGGTATCTACCTCAGTACAATCGAAGATGGTCGCACAATTTCGTGGATTGGTTGAAGTTAGACATTAACACCGTTGCATGCCGGCCAACTCAGTGGTCTAGAGGTTAAGTGTTCGCACGTGAGATTGAAGGCCTTCGGTTCGAATCCTGTGAGTAGGATCGTGGATGCGCATTGCTGAGGAGTCCCACAATAGGACAAAATGGTCACCTATTGCTTTCAGGTTTTCAATGGTAGTCTAACACCAATCGGTTCATGATCTCAGTCAAAAAAATTTATATAGAGGTCATGTCGTGGTATGTGCTACTGATGTCGATAGATAGAAGTAGTATATATGACCAATCGAAAGTGGAATGACTGAAGGCAGAAAGTTGAGAAGATTAAAGAGAAGAGAACAGGAACAGAAAATGATTGCTGTGGAAATGAAGGAACAGTAAAATCTGAGACAATTGATTGACCTTTTTTAGATGAAGTATTCACTGTATAGTTCTCGGATTTTCCTAAGAGACTGTAATTTTGTGTTCGAATACATTCAGTTGTCCCCACTAATATTCTCATTCACTAAAATATGTCACATATTACAGGATAGAAGCTTTTCTAGGGTTACTGACGGTCTAAAGTTCAGATAAGGGAGAAGAGTTGGACATGGCGTCAGCAACCTTATGCCGTAGAAAACAACCTTTCAAAAATACTAACCAGAATGAACAATTTAAACCATTCAGACTCTGATCTTCGAGTTGGAGGATCATCATTCAGAAAAATTATAACGCCTCATGGTAAAGACCGATATTTTTCA